AAACAACCCCCCCCCCCCCCCCCCTGCGGCAGAGTCACAGTCCTATCTCTGGTACCCCCGCTTAGCGGCATCGACTCAGAGGAACGGGTCTATCGCCCACAGCAACCAATCAGCTGCTTGCCTTCATGTCACAATCTGCCCGACAAGCGTGGCAGCCGGAGCGTGTTTGCTGTGGGTGACGCAGACACGTGACGCTCTTTATGGGTCATGTCTGTCACGGTGGACACGTGTGTGGCCGGGGACATAGCGCTGCTTATACAGCTTTAGGGGCTCCATCAAATATTTCATATCACAGGATTTGTGGGTTAGATTTCCCCAAATTCAACACGAATGCCAAATTATCGACACTCAGACCTGACTTTCCCCGCTGCCCGTGTGATCGGCCAGACCCGACGCATGTCACCCGTCACTGTCATGTATATTTGGACCCATATACCACCACATGCCCCTCTACTTTTACCCCTATGGACCCATATACCACCACATGTCCCCTCTACTTTTACCCCTATGGGCCTGTATACCACCAAATGTCCCCTCCACCATACCCCACCCTGAAACCAAATACAACCAAATATCCCCTCTACTGTACTCCACTATGGGCCCATACAGCACCACAGGTCCCCTTAAGATATCCTATTATGGAACGGTACACCTTAAAATGTCCCCCTGCTAAACTTCACAATGGGTCAATGTACCACCAAATGTCCCCTCTAATTTTACCCCTATGGGCCTGTATACCACCAAATGTCCCCTCCACCATACCCCACCCTGAAACCATATACCTCCAAATGCCTCCTGAACTGCCTGCCAGCCCCGGCCTTGCCCGAACAGGACGTGCATTGGCGCTGTGATACATTAAAAGGCAAACCCATTTGTACCAACACACAGAACATGAGTTACAATGGCCCCTTTATAGTGAATACAGATCCATAAAAGGGGCCCCCGGCATTGCCAATAAAACGTCTGAATAAAACGTTGGCATCACCAGCGCACCAAAACTTGGCTGCGAAGGACTCCTTTATCAAAGGGAAGCAGGCAGTCACTACTGCCTTGGTGAAGGGGCCCTTTGCGGCCCACAAATGCTGCGTCACAGGTTTGTGGCAGTAAATGCCCCTGCGGTTTGCATAACTTCGGCCTGCCGGTGATGCGAACGCTTGATTCAGTGGCGCCAACCATTGTTCTGTCACCGCGGCGCCCATTTCTGAAGGTGATTCGGTGTGCGGATCGTATGGACTCATAAGGTGTCTCTCGGACTCGGGATGGGCCGTGGCTGTCAGAGACCAGAGTACAGTCTGCGGTCACCTCTTACCTCGGCTGATCCGCCCCACACACATGTTGTCCGGTGACACCACCTCTTGCTTGATAGTGAAGTAGTCTCCCTGGAGAGAGTCGGGCTGCAGGGGGTCCCTCAGGATGGGGGAGGGGTATTCCGCCTCATATTTCAAAGACAAGAGTTCCTCTGAGCTGATGGGGTGGAGGGTCTGGTAGGATTCTGTGATAAAGCTGGGCTCTGAGAACTCCGTGGGGGGAACGCACTGTGCATGTTCGCTTCCATAACCTGCAACGGAGGACGCATGTCACCCAAATGATACAACGCATGGCTGACAACATAACGATCAAACAAATGTCAACCCTAAATAGATCCCATTGTGTGAGCTCTGCGCCCCGGATCCCATTGTGTGTGCTCTGCGCCCCGGATCCCATTGTGTGTGCTCTGCGCCCCGGATCCCATCATGTGCGCTCTGCGCCCCGGATCCCATTGTGTGTGCTCTGCGCCCCGGATCCCATTGTGTGTGCTCTGCGCCCCGGATCCCATTGTGTGTGCTCTGCGCCCCGGATCCCATTGTGTGTGCTCTGCGCCCCGGATCCCATTGTGTGTGCTCTGCGCCCCGGATCCCATTGTGTGTGCTCTGCGCCCCGGATCCCATTGTGTGTGCTCTGCGCCCCGGATCCCATTGTGTGCGCTCTGCGCCCCGGATCCCATTGTGTGCGCTCTATCTGCGCCCCGGATCCCATTGTGTGCGCTCTGCGCCCCGTATCCCATTGTGTGCGCTCTGCGCCCCGTATCCCATTGTGTGCGCTCTGCGCCCCGTATCCCATTGTGTGTGCTCTGCTGCGCCCCGGATCCCATTGTGTGCGCTCTGCTGCGCCCCGGATCCCATTGTGCTGTGCTGCGTGTTCCGGGTCGGGGGGCTCGGACATTAATACTCACTGATGAAGTAGTCGGTGGTGTATCTGGGCTCAGGATAGGCCGGGGTCAGCTCACTCGTCTGATACAACTTGGAGTCTGAGGACACAAAAGTAACAACAGATAAGGACCCGAACGTTGCTTTCCATCTCAGCGGACGTGAACGGCGATTTCAGAAAAGCGCGGCCGGAACTATCTCGCGCTCTCCAGTACCAGATGTCACATGACAGGAATACGGAGATGTCACATGACAGGAATACGGAGAGGTCACATGGACCCGAGACTGGCGGACGCGATACCGCACGGCGCTAATTTACCGCTGGAGTTGTTCTGACATTTTTGTAGCGATAGAAGCAGCAGCACAAATGTATCGCCGTTGGGAACTGCGCTCATCGGCGGCAGATTGACGCTTGCCGATCCCCCGACTCTCCCATAGCACAGCCCTGGACCAATGCCCGGCGCCTCGCCATTCACTTCAACGTTCCAGAATTTTAATGAGTGTTCTACGTGGGAGTCCGATAACCCGGAAAACCTGCTGCCAGGAAACAATCTCTGCAACATGCAAATGAACACGTCCGAGGGGGAGAGACGGGTTCACTTTCCCGGCTGTCACTGACTCCCGTGTGCGCACAATGTGGCGGCGTAACGCAGACCCGGACAGGCTCGCAAAGGATCGTCATGCACAGTGCAGCAATATAACGCACCGCAGCCAATCACATTCACTTTTGTCTAAGATGTGATTTTTTTTTTTTTATTGGCTGCTGTGGGTTACTGTACATC